CCCTCAGTGCCTGCTGGGCTGAGGCCTATATCATGCCCTGTAGGTCTGCAGATCTCCAGGGTTCTCTCTCTGTGACGCTGTCCTTTATGGTATTCTGTCCTAGCTGAGTAGGACAGCGTCCCAGGCATTCCAGCTGCCTTGGTCTCCCGGGTCTCAGATCCTCTTCTCAGCTAGTCTGCTGGGCTCCACCTCAGTGCCTGCTCCTTGGCTGGGCAGTCATAGGAATCACCTCTTTTGTTTAAGGTGTCTCAACGATCACTGTCCTTTGATGCCTGATTTGCAGTGTCATGAAAACTGTTTTGTGTATATTGTCTGGTTTTTGTTTGTTTTTTTAGCCGAGCCATCGGGCTGTGAATTGACCTGGCGACCCTGTTGTTAGAGCTCCCACTCTTGAGCGAGCTCTTAACCGAGCCACTCAGCTGGCCCTGTTTTGTTTTTTTTTTGCCTCAGGTAGGAGGGGTAAATCTGATCCCCATTATACCATATTGGCTGGAAGCAGAAGTTAATTTACATTTTAACACCAACAAGACAGAGCATGTTCTCATGCTCATATGTTTCTTGATCCTCTGTGTTTCCTCTTCTGTGTTTTGCCTTGTTCATACGATTTGCCCATTTTTCTTTTGGATTATCTCCATTTGTCCTTAATGACTTGAAAAGGGTACTTTTGGGTGCAAATGGCAAGATCCTTTCTCACATTGGTTTAAAGAAAAGAGGACATTTTATTGTTTCATGTGACAATGCTCCCCACTTCTCTCTTTCTTTCTCTAACAGGGACTGTGGCTGGTGGTCTGAAATCCCACCATCGCGACTTGTGCTGGGAAGCAAGTGTCAGCAAATCCAGCCTGCCACTTCTTTTTGTAAAGTTTCACTGACACCCAGCCGTGCTCATTGCTTACATATCATCTATGGCTGTTTTCACGTCACAAGGGTAGAGGCAGAGACTGTAGGGCCAGCAAAACCTGCAATATTTGCTGCGATATTTACTATCTGGCCCTTTGCAGAAAAAGTATACCTGCCGCTGGTCTAAAGGAAAAGGTAAGAAATTCTGTCTTCCAGTTTTAGTATAAAACATCCTAAAGAAGTTCTTATGTGGCTTGAGTCACATGACAACCCCTGATCAGGAAGACAGAGAGCTGACCAGCTGGCCCTGGCTGCCATGTCCACCCCCTGTGGCAGCCCCCTGCTAGGATGAGCAGGGACTCACAGGGTGTGAGAGTAGGGGGTGGCAGTCAAACACTGGACTGCCCAGCAAAGGGACAATGGCCTTTGTCCAGTGTACGTGCTGTAATGTATCAGAACCCTAAATTGAAATTTTGAGGTATATCAAGAGACAGCAGACGTGGATTCTCAAATGAGGTGTCAGGACACCATATGCAGACAGTCATGGGCAATACTTGGGAGCCTGTCCCATACCTGGAATGAGGTGAGAGAGGAGAGCGGAGTTGGGGCACGGCGTGCGGATGCTTCTTCCTTAACCGGAAGCCTAGTGAGGGTGGCTTTCAAGGGATTCCTCAGAGAGCTTACAACATGGCCCTTCATTTGGAGGCATAGAGGACTGGGGATGGGTGCCAGCCAGGAAAGGGGGCTCACGGGCTGCTAGGAGGCAGAGCCGTGTGCTGGTGTCGGGACCCGCCAGCTCCCAAACGTTGGTCAGGGCCAGGGGTGGACAGATGTGACCTACACGAACAGGTCATCTTAGGTCCTGTCCAGTGGTCACCACAGAAGGGCAGAAGATCCCCTGAGCCAACAGGTACCCCCCCACCCCCCTGAACACACACACAAAGACAACACATCTGCTCAGGAGAGGGAGCTGGAGGGAACTGCCAGGAGCCCACGAATGTCCCCAGGAGAGGCGGCATTACTCTCTGCCAGACCAGGACGAAGACTCCCCAACACCTCTTCCTTTCCCACCCTGGCAGCTGGCGTAGACCCAGGTGGGTGGGAGGAGGGCCAAGCTGGCTGGGAGGGGCTTATGGAAGGCCAAGCACAGCCTCCTCCCCCAATGCTCCCCTCAGGCCCCAACAGGAATATTTAACGTTGAATTAGGTTCAGAGGTTTAACCCTATAGACCTGGACATTCTAATTTCTGAACTGAGACAGTCTGCAGCTTGAAATGACAGGTTGTCACGCTTCGGAGTGCTGGGGATGAGGTTAGGCTCAGTCTTGCATGCTTGTTGCAAAGACCAGAAACCCACTGGAGCCAGTCCCAGTAGGAGCTCACTGTGAGGATACCGTTATGGATTGTTTATGTCCCCCTAAATTTCATATGCTGAAATCCTAACCCCTTTGGGAGGTGATTAGGTTATGAGGGTAGAACCCTCATGATGGGATTAGTGCTCTTATAAGAGAACAGAGCTCCCTATTTCCCCTATGTGAGGACACAGCAAGACAGTCCTCTGTAAACATGAAGAAGTACTGACCCAGAACCTGACTGGGCTGGCACCCTGATCTCACACTTCCAGCCTCCAGAACTGCAACAAATTTCTTTTGTTTATAAGCCACCCAGTCTCTGGCTCTTTGTTACAGCAGCCTGAAATGACTAAGACAGATAACAGAGGATCCTCATGGGTGCCTGAGGACACTGGGAATCCCTAGTTTGGAGGACCCAGGACTGCTCCATCCATTTAGCTGATCACAGGGTCCCTAGTTTCTGAAAATGTCTACTGCATAATACCAGCGGCCAATACGTGAGCACTTGCTATGAGACGGGCACTGTTCAGAATGCTCTTTGGGTATGAATTCATTTAATCCTCTCAGAAACTCATGGAAATGCTAAAGTCCGTCCTATGATGCTCTTTTTATCACTGAGGACATGAAGGCACAGAAAGATTTCATTTCTAGACCAGTGGGCAAGACCATAGGTACCCATTGTGCAGCATGCTAAGGCAAACTCCATGGTGAAGTCGGATTTCACCCTGGATTTACCCCAGAAAACTATGCAAGGCTGCCCTGAAGTGACAATACCGAAACAGATTTGGGTTGAGCAAAGGGAAGGTGGTTGGGGAGGGGCATCGAAGGTGGACGGCGTGGCGAGTGCAAAGGCACCGAGGCAGGAGGGACCAGGACAGTTGAGGAGCAGCAAGGGAGCCGGTGAGACTGGAGTCAGAGACTGAAGAGAAGGGAGTGGACAGGGTAGAGCTGAGCAGACCCAGGCTGAGCCTGCTAGGTCTGGAGATAAGGATATACTGCCCAAATGGGGACATCGTGGGAATGAAGGACATTGTAATATTTACACTGGGACAAAAAACGGGGATGGCCCCAAGCAAATTCAGATGTCTGATCACCCTATTTTTTAAAAGTCAAGGTAAAAAAATTGGTCTTTATCCTAAAACCAGTGAGAAATCTTTGGTTCTGGGCCAGGCAGTCCGCTCAGCCTTTTTCTTTTTCTTTTTGAGGTATCGTACACACAAAGTGCAAATATTTAGAGGAGGTGTAAGTTTTATATATGTACAGACCCATGTAACAAGCTGGGTCTGTCTTATCCTGATCAGGATGTTCCTTACCTCCCCAAAAGGCTCCCTCCATACCCCCTTCCAGTTCGTCCCCCCCCCCCACTACGCTGGTCTCTAACACCAGACTGTTTTTGCCTGCTGTTTTAAAAATTAAGGTATAATAAACAAAACAGTGATATGCACTGCTTTTAAGTGTACACTTGGAAGAATGTCACTTATATGTAGTTCCGTATAACCGCCACCGGCATCAAATCACAGAACATGTCTAGCAGCCCGGAAGGCTGCCTCCTACCCTTTCACAGTCAATACCTCCTCCACAGACTGGGAGCCGCTATTCTGATGCCTATCTCTGTGGATTAGTTTTGCCCCAGGCTCCTCTATCTGCCTCGTCACCCGCTCCACCCTTTGCCCTGCCCTGCTGAAGTGCCTCCTCCCTTCCCTGGGTTAGGGTTCCCACGGCCCTGCAGCCTAGCTCCCAGCTCCCACCGACTCCCACGGCCTCAGCGACTGACCACGAGTGCCAGGCAGTCCCTCCCCTCCCGACGTCAAGGATGTGTCTGGGTGGGGGTATGCCCCATCACCCTCCTCTCCCTGCCACACAGATAAACCAACAATCTTAGTTCAGGCAAGCAGTGACTCGCTAGGCAAACCCAGCACGCGCACAAACAGCCGGCCGCTTCCTACCAAACTGCCACCCTGAGGCATTTGTTTGCGGGGAGGGGTAAGTTGGACAGTAGAATTGAAGGTGGCCTCTGTAGGGGCTCACGAATGCACCGGGCGCTGGGTGGCCCGCCGGGCCGCCGCCTCCGCTGCAGCCCCGCCCTGTCCGGGCCTCAGTTTCCTGTCTGTCAAGTCAGAGGTGGGCTCGCATTTTCGAAGGCCGTTCCGAGCTCGGAATGGTTTTAAAACAGCTCGTCCCGCCGCCGAGGCCACCGCAGTCGCGCCTGCGGGGAGGCCCCGAAGTCCCAGGCGGGTAGGGGCGGGAGGGGACGCTCCGAGCTCCCAGCTCCCTGTCGGGACCTTGACGCGCGCGAGCGCGGGCCCCGCACACGGAGGAGCCACCCCGAGAAGCGCTCCCGCACGCCGCCCGCGCGCCCTCTGCGCACGCGCCGGCGCCGCAATCTCGGAGGCGCACTGGCTCCTCGCTCGCCACGCCCCCGCCGGGCGTCGCTCCCCTCCGACCCCGTCCGCTCCCAGCCTTCCCAGCATCCCGGCCTCCCTACGGCGAGCCGCGAGGTCCGATCCCGCCGGGAGCCGGGAGCCGGGACGCAGGGGCGGGGCGGCGCGCTGAGGTCAGCGCGGCAGCAGCCG